CATGGAGCTCTGAGCAGAATGCAGGGTGGTGGGCTTACCAGTGCCAGGTGGTATCTGCACAAGACTGGCAGCCACCAGCAGCTGCACCAAGACAGATACTTCTGCTTTATGACTTCACCATTAAGCGGTTCACCAATTTTCTAGCAGGAAATTATGGACCTGGCCATCCTTGTTATTAATTCCAAAGTAAGGGTGTGGCCTTTTGGATTTCTTTCTTTCTTTTTTTTTTTTTTTTTTGGCCTTTGGATTTCTAAGTGCAGTTTTGTAGTATACTCTCAGGTGTACTCTGTTCTATATTTAAATGCTTCCAGATTTAAGTTTTTCAGAATGTTAAATGTCTTGCCAAACTTAAAGTTTATTTCACAGAATCTAAAATCACTGTATTTTGTTTCATTTCAGGGTGGTATCTACATGCCATTCTTTGATTGTTGGGATTCTGGGCCTGTACATTTTCTTTTTTGATGAGGCTGGCCGAGCTGATCCAATTTGGTAAGCTGTTTTTTTCTTATATAGTCCATCTGATTTATGTTTTCATATTAATTATTAATAAGAACATCTCTTACTTTAAAATAAAATATATTGATGGTATATGTTTTATTAAGATGCTTGTGTCTAGACTTATTTCAGCAAGGTGTATTAAAATGACTTATTTTAAATTTGAGTACAAATAATGTGGGCCATTTTGCTTTAGTATCATAATTGTTACCTAGAACTGGGACCTGTAATGATGATGTAAACATTTATACTGTGTTAGTGAGTAAAACCAAGTTATTGTTACCACTGAGCAAAAATAAGTGAAGAAGCTAGGATAAGCAGTTTGGAGAATAACTACCTAAGGCTTAGTGTTCAAATTTATGTTTGATCCATCATTTGTTATCAAAGATGTGAAAATGAGAATAATAGATGGCCATATGAGGATGTTAGTACTGAATGAGAAGATCTGAAGCACTAATAATAACTGTTCTGCAATAATAGGATAAATTGTACAATGATTCTTTTTGAAAAATTTAAATGTTATTAAAATGGCAGAAGTTCTACAAACAATTTTTCCTAGCATCACATGAAAAAGTTTAGTTCAGCTTAGTTTGAGAGATGAGATAGTTTTTGAGAAAGCCCTGCATCACATGTGGTAGATGTGGGCTCTGGGGGATGTTGGGCAATTTAACCAGGTCTTCTAACCACCACTGTTTGACTGCAGCAGTGCTGTTCTTTATTCATAAATATGGAATTATGTCCATCAGAACTATACCAGTTTAGTAAATTTTCACTGGGAAGATAATTTTAAAACAACTCGATTTAAAGAATTTAATTCCTAGACCAAATTTTAATGTATTATCTACCTAAATAATTTCTAGCTCCTTTTTTTTTTGTGTGTATATATATATATATACTATATATATATATAACATGAATGACAACAGAACAAGTTGTTTTAGGAGGTAAATTTTAAATTTTTAGGTAGAGATTTGACTCATTGAGCAATTTTGTGCTTATCAAACTTTTCTCTTACATTTTTTTATATTTTTGTATTTCCTTTGATTCCTTAATATATCCTAGGTCCACTTTTCCTGGGTCATATATGTGGCTCAACTTTTATAGAGAAGAAATGACTTCTGCTAAATATTACCATTTGTACTTGAACTGTGACTGCTTTTGTGTAGTGTTCATCGCACCAGTAGTTCACATTACAAATGGGATAAAGGACTGATAGTTTGTGTATTTGTTTTTTTGCCTTAAAGCACGAGAAAGGCCAAAGTGTAGGGGTCAAAACAGCAAGGTTAAACTGTCTTCTTCCAAGCATTTTCTTAGTGTGTGATAATAGGTAAATCCCTCTGGTTCTCAGTAAGGTAATAGTGTATTGCTTCAGCATCAGCGGTGGGATAGATAATTTCTTGAGGTATTTGAACCTCTAATTCAGAAGCAGAATCAAAATAGTCAGCATCTGGAATACCATTTAAATCTTTTTGCAAACAAATTGTTTGAGAAACACATTTATAAAACGTCTTTTTTTTTTAAACATTATTGTCATATATTTTTAGCTAATAGATAAATTATGATTCATTCACTTGGAAATATTATAGCTAAAAGTACTTTGTGCAAAAGACAATTTACCATTTGAGAATCTATAGAAAGCATTTTAATTGTATTTAAATCTCAATAGGGTTAAGGTAACTGTCATTTATAACCCATGTGCTAAAAAAGGAAACTTTTTTTAAAATATAGGGGTGATTCAACGCTTGGGAAAGTGAATATTTCTATTGTTACCGGCTACCTCTTTTCTGGTATGTGATATATTGTTCACTGTCTATTTCTTTTTAAACCACTCATGGAATTATGCAAATAATGCATAGGATTTGCTTTTGGTTCATTTATTTGAGTAGTACCTTTTTAGACCCATACTGAAGAAAACAAATACTTGCCGTGATGGTAGAACATGCACATTTTGCAGCTGGCTTTTGGCTCTAAAGGCCAGCACTGCAGAATGGGGCTGCTGGACCCTGGAATTTCTTGCTGGCAGTAATCCCTTGTTGTCTGAAAGAGTCTCTCAGGTGGAATTATTATGAAGCCAATCAAGGTCCCTCATTTGCAAGAGCCCTTGCAATATGTTCTCATGGTCACGGTTTTGTAATAGCATGTGAAAGTAACCTAGTTTGGCCATAATCTTTTAAGTTCATGGACTCTTTCTACTCCACATTTCCCTGCCATATTTCCCCTCATGTTGGATGGCGTTGGAGTAGCCTTTTATACAAGGAGACTTTATGGAAATTAAGTAGGGAATATGCCATTTTAACTAGTCTTTTGAAAAGCCATCTTGGTCTGTCTTAAGACAAGAGAGAAATAACAGATGCCTGATTAGTACATTTGTACACTGAACCTTATTTTGTAATTTTTTTTTTTTTTTTTTTTTTTTTTTAAAGATATATTTATTTATGCATACAAGAGCTGGGGTACAGGCCACTGGTGCAGGGGTGGGGGGAGTGAGAGGATTCACCATAGACAGAGTGGGGAACAGAACAGGCAGATTGACCGAAGTACATTGCTGAGGGGAGCAGCGGGCGAGACAGGAGAGGTCTGCTGCTCCATGTGGGTTGCTCCCTGGCCAGCCGGGGATCGAACTTGTGCTGCAGAGGCTGCGGATTGCTTCATAGTGCTGTGCTTAACCCCTTGCGCCACCAGGGAAGTCCCTTATTTTGTAATTTTTAAGTTTATTAAATAACTGAGAGAAAAATCTAAATACAAATGATGAAACTTGAAACAAAAGTAATAGAGACAAGTAATGGACTCAACAGAAAATTTCCATCACGAAGTGATGTTAAAAAATAAGACCTAGATTATATCAAAACATAAGCAGTTTATTTAGAGGAAGAGATACATTCAGATAGAAATAATGAATAGTGTGTTTTCATGGATTGGATCATTTGCTGGGGTGATTGAAAAGAAGGATGAATCATGGGAAAACATCCATTCATTTGCCACAAAATGCTATCGTTGACAAGGATAGCACAAAATTTTTAACATGTCTCACGCTCTAGTTGATGAACAATCCAATTCAGAGTCGTCGTTACCCAGGAAATCTCATCTGAAAGAACCATGATAATGCTTTGCCCAAATTAAATAACAACCCAAAAACAAGTTTTGAACTGAAACAAACTTGTCTAAACCCAGCTGAAAGAGAAATGAACTTCTTCAATTCTTTCTATAGAGAATATTACTGTGTTGTAGGCTCAGAGTTGTCAGGAGAAAGAGTTAAATACATTGAAAAGCAGTGCCAGTTTCTTCCTATGTAATACTTATTTTTCTTTCTTACAGATTTGTTGATTATCATTTCGTATTGGAAAGTGATTGGTGACAAATATTTCGTAGTTCACCACTGTACAGCTCTATATGCCTACTACTTTGTTCTGGTGAGTGAGTACCAGGATTTACAGTAGGTTATCCAGCAAACAGGATTGGAAGTAATGACTTAAGGGTGAACATAAATCTAAACATACAGTTCTTAATTTATAAAGACCAACTCCAAATGCATTCAAGGATCACTCTGGTGATATATTATCCTGTTTACTACCAAAAATAATAAATCGTGTATGTTAGTGTATATGTTTGGATTCATAAACTTTGAAGAAGGCAGATGACCCAATTTCTTAATTCCTATACCTAGAAGTACCTTTTCAGACCCACTAGAATATTTCTTTTCTTGTTTAATTCCACATAGAGTTCCATGTACAGGCATGATTATATTTAAGGAGGATAGACCAGTGTGGTGGGGGCAGGGAGGGGCATCTTACTCTGAGACTTCGTCAGAATTCCAAAACTGAACTAATAACAGCAAGTCTCAGGCAGTAATGCATATTAAATTTTACATCTAAAATGATTTTTTACATATTCATCTGTAAATTAGCAATTTTGTATGTCTTTCATTCTTGTTAGTTTTCTCTACAATTAATTACTTTTCAACATAGGTATACAACAAGCCCAAGATATGTATTCAGAAATAATACATGTATGTAAACTGGAATTGTTTGATATAATACATCGGGCATAACATCCCATGCTTTCTCCATTTTAAAACTTAAATGTAACCACTATTTTTCTTTCTTATTTAGTGTAACTAAAATCCTTATATTACTGTGCATTTGTGATTAATTGGTGAGTTTTTGAAAAACTCATACAAATGTGTGTTAATTGTATTTTTACATTTTTCTTCATATTGATCCACATAAAGAAGTGAACAAAATACCAATTTGACGTTATTTCTGCAAGAATTAGCTCTATAAAAGCATCTCTTTATATCACCCATTTGAAATCACAAATATAGATGATTAAAGATTTTACTGGTTTTATTATTATAAGTAATAATCAATTTTCCCAAAGCAAGTAGGCTATTTCTACTAGCATTTTCTACACTGCTTATTTCTTGGTTGTCTTCTTCAGCTAGGCACTTACAGAATAGAGATTCTGCCTTTTACAGACCTTACTTGGTATGCAAACACTTTGCTCCCTAAGCGTATCTGCTAAAAAGATATGTAAACTGACTAACAAACTCCCAGTTAACTCTGAGAAGAATGTTTGTGGTATCCATGTAAGTTTAATGCCATGCTGCAACTTTTAAATATGTTCCCTGAACATGAATCATAAGTCATCATTGTGCTGTGAAAAAATTATAAGCTGGTGAGGGGTAATAGGTCACTTCCATGCACTTACAAATGCAAATACTAAGAGCTGTTCTTCCCTGGCCTCTGAAATCACAGGTTTGGCAAATGACTGGTTGTGCATAGATCAGTGAATTGGCTATTTAATTATGTGGGATGAATACTATTTTTTTTTTTTTTTACTTTTATGCCTTTTAAAAAATCAATAAAGCACATGCTGGTGTTTTTGCAAAGATCTTAACTTGCCTTTTCTTCTTATCTTACCCATTAAGATACTCTTAAAGAGTATCTTTTACAGTAGCTGTTACAACAACATTTCAAAAGATAACAAAATTAACACTTTTGTTGACTAGGTAGTATTAAAAATAGTCTCCTAATGTAGCTTACTAAAATGAGACAGTATGATTTCTAATTCCTATTAAATTTACATACAATAAAACAAGCTAAATTTTTATCTGAAAAAATATTTTAGTGTCTCCCTCGTGGCACAGGGGGTTGAGACACAGCCTGTGAGGCTGTCCGCAGCCTCTGCAGCACAAGTTCGATCCCCCGGCTGGCTGGGGAGCAGCCCACATTGCACAGCAGACCTCTCCTGTCTCGCCCGCTGCTCCCCTCAGCAGTGTGTTTTGGTCAGTCTGCCTGTTTTGTTCCCCACTCTGTCTCTGGTGAATCTTCTCACCCCCCCCACACCTCTGGCCTGTACTCCAGCTCCTGTATGCATAAATAATAATGAGTAAATCTTTAAAAAAAGATATTTTAAAAACTTGAATAAATGACCTTTTTTCCTATTGAAATAAAAATGTCAGCTTTCTTACATAGTAAAGACAACAGAATGGCAGAAGTAGTTGGCCTTAGAGAGTGTTTTATTATTTTTTTTGCTCACTTAAGCAAATCTTGTTTGTATAAAAACACAGTTGTATGGTTGACTTATAACTTTTACTGCTTATTGAGGAATTAGCCATGGTACAGATGTTAAATGGTTAGTATAAAAATACATGTCGAGCCTCCCCTGGTGGCGCAATGGTTGAGCGCTGGGCTGCTAGGCTGCAGCACCAATTCGTTCCCTGGCCTCTGGTGAGGGGCCCACAAAAAAAAAAAAAAAAAGTCATCTACACATTCATATATATGTAAAGATATACAAATAAGTATGTGTGTAACAGGCATGTGTTTTTTGGTCTTGCTTTAATATAGAATATTTCATATGAAGTTCTTCATATTTCATGAACATAGCAAAGCTCCTTTGAGGATGTTCTCAATGTTGGTTTAGGAGGAGTTCAAGTCTAGCTCTTCTGTTATAGTAACTGAATCATGGTCTTTTGTGGGCACAGAGCATCCTCTCAGATTTGTGTAGTGGGATTACCTTAGCAAAGCTGAGTCACCCTCTTTCTCTGCGCTGGCTTGATTTTTGAAGGTTATATTCTTTTTAATACCTATAAGGGAAAGGATCCACATACTGGACTTGGTGTGTGATGATAGAATGGATTATCAGCTAATCCATTCTAATCAATGTCTTGTTCTTAATCAGATTTTAAAAAAGCAGTCTCATAATGGATTTTCCTTATGTGAAATATCTAGAATAATCAATGTCATAGAAATAGAAAAAAATTATAATAGTTACTCAGGATGTATGGAGGGGTTATTGAGAAGTTTCTGTTTAATGGGTAAAAGTTTCAGTTTTAGAATCTGAAAATTATCTGGATGTGGACAGTGGTGATGGTTGCACAACACTGTAAATATATTTATTACCACTGAATCATATACTTAAAAGTGGTTGAAAGGGTAAAATTTATTTTGTCTTTATTTTACCATAATAAAAGTAGTTAAGAAATTAAAAATTCCAGTTCATGATGGTGATGTAGAAAGAGCAGCTCTCACAGGTAAACTGAATCTGCAGCTATGTATCCAACAGTTTCCTTTGAGAAAACTAAAGCCACCTAAAGGGTGGCTGAGTGACAACTGCACATGTGCAAGAGAGGAAAAAAATCACATGGAAGCTTGTAGGAGTGCCTGGGACACAGTCTCTCTGTAAAATCCCCTACCTAGTACAGTGACCCACAAACTGGAGGGCCCATAAAACCCAAGGACTCTCCTTATAGAGTGAAGTGTTCAACCCCCATACCAGCCTCCCTGACTCGTAAGCCCTACACCAAAGAGACAAGCCTCCAAATGATCTAATAATGAAAATTAACAGGATTAGTATACCAAGACCCACAAGATTGTCTGAAATTGACTCTTAAAGAGCCTGTGTGCTTAGACTCACCTGCTTCAGGGCCCAGCTCAAAGGTAGCTGAATCTGAACTTAAGGCGAAGGAGCCTCCCTGCTCATATTAAAGCTTTGACCTGAGGGGCACCCATGTAATTGAACACGCACATACAGCCTGTTGATTTAACACTGTCTGGGACACAGTGCTGGGTGCTGTCTTTATGCTCTCCCTTTACTGTGCTTCAGATACCAATATCTCTCAGAAGGGAGCTCTTATCAATGTCTGCTGCCCCAGTTTTTGCCACTGCTGCCCAGGGGACCTCTCTAAATCACCTGGCTCTGGTAGCCAGTGGAGCTTGCATTACTGGTCCTACGGGATTGTAATAACCAGTGTCACCCAGAAAGGAGCTGATAGCCTCGTCTGATGACCTGCTTTTGGTGATTGCTTCTAGGGCATACCTATATATGACCTGGTACAGAGGTCAGTGGGGCTAACTCTTCCTGGGTCCTTTGGTAAACTATGAAGGAGTTTCTAAACAGTTCCCACCCTCAGGGTAAAGCAAGAGGCTTCAGACTCAGGAGTTCAGTTTTACTGTCAAGGAAACCTGATAACTGAACATCATGGCAGCAGCCTGAGGGGGCTGGCTTCCAGTAAAACAGGCATCTAGGGGCTGACTGTAATCCTTTCTAGAGACCGGAGCAGGCAGCACTATCTTCTAGTTCTCTGTCTGCCACACTCCAGAGTGCCAGGGTCCTCTAATGGGGGGTTGATTTTTGCATACTCCAGAGTGTCAGGGTCCTCTAATGTGGAGCTTCTCAGAGTACGCCCCTTGATTGTCTGGTTCTGGTGGAGAGCCTGCACCCCTGGGTCCCCTGGGCATGTGGCCATTGGAGAAATGGCGCAGGCAAAAGGAGTACTCGGGCATACAGCCTGTCTGTGAGGGAGGCCTTCTGTGGCTCTGGAGCTTTGGCCTAAGGGCAGGCATCAGGCTAGAGCACATCTGGTGGCCTGCGCAGCTGATGGTAGTCTGCGGATACCTTTTTGGTGCTCTCCCTGCCCTGCTCCAGCTTGCCAGTATCTCCCAAAAAAGATGCACTCACCTGGGGCCCTGATTTTTGTGAGTGCCACCCAGGGGACACCTCCAGTTCACCTGGTTCTAGTGACCTCACAGGACTGTGCGTATTTGCATGCTTTCAAGAGTTGCTGCCTGAGAGTCTGGTTTCTAGACAGTTTGAATCTAGGTACTGACATCCTCCCTTTTGGGACACTGACATCTTATGACATGCTCGCTTATTGGGAGCTATTAAAAATATAATAGGCTGCTTTGAAAATCACAAAGTTTTGAGAGACAACCAAGAATTGGGGCAAGGTTGAACAAGTTTCATCCTATTTACAAGACTACTCCTTCAGGCCTAGAAGTAATGCCTTATCTACTACATAGAAATCAACACAGAGAGTTAAGCAAATGAAAAAAAAAAAAATCACAGGAATATGTTCCAAATGAAAGAGCATGATAAGACCTCTGGGGAAAAAAAAAAAAAAAACTTAATG